CAGGTACCCATCTTCTGTGTTCCCACAGCACCTTGTACTTACCTCTTGTAGCACCCAGTACCCTGCATTGCAGTTATCTTTTTATGTTCTCCTGCCCAACCCCTCACATACACTTAATGGAAAGTGTCTGTCCCATTGTTTTTTTGTATCACTAAAGTACAGCACAGTGACAGGTATGTAGTAGAATTCAGTATTTGTTAAATCAATATGTAGGTTTTGAAGATGCATAAGGATATATTGGGTACCGTTGTGTATTCTTGTTTTTACTCCTCACAACAATCTTTGTGTATGATATGTAAAGTAGATACTACCTTCAATTTACTTTAAGGAATTAGCTCACACAGTTGTGGAGCTGGCAAGTCTAAAATCTCTAGAACAGGATGATAAGCTGGAGACTCAGGTAAAAGTTCATGTTGTAGCTCAAGTCTGAAGACAGTTTGGAAATAGAATTGCCTCTTCCTTGGGGAAGCCTCAGTTTTTTTCTCTTAAGGCCTTAAACTATTGGGTAAGACCCACCACACTATGGAAGGTATCTACTTTACTCAAAGTCTGCTGATTTAAATGTTAATTTTATCTAAAAAAATACCTCTATAGCAACATCCAGACTGGTGTTTGACCAAATATTTGGGTACCATGGCCTAACCAAATTAGTACATAAAATTAACTATCACAGAGGGTGATAGCCAGGGCTTAAGCCTTTCCAAATTTCTCTGTCTCCTGCCTTTCACCTCTGCTTCTTTGTATGAAAATTTTATTATTCTTTAGACAGCAAATGCCAACAACATCTTGACCTACATTTGCCCATCTTCATCATTTCACAGGAATGATTTTTCTTAAGAATGAATGAAATAATCCATGTAAAGTACGTATCACATAACACCTATCATATAGTAAATACTTAATAAGTTCTAGTTTCAATAATTGTTATTGTTAGTAGTAGTAGTAGATATGGTAGTGGTAATAGTGGTTTTCCATTAATTCCAAATAAAGGCATCCTAGATAAAGATTTTAACCACCTTGGCTTTGATCACGGGCCCAATCTTGAGGTAATTCCTGTGATTATGAGGTGGGAAGCTGTGACTGGTTAAGCTTTGGTCAGGAGCTAATCCCTGGCCAGTTACTACTCAGAGAGTTTGAGTCTGTAAAAAGATGGCATTTTCTACTTGAACTATATGGGTAGAAAGATAATAGGGAGAGAGGAGCAGTCTCCTAAAAGAAAGATTGCTGAGTACTGGGAGAAGGGAGGGTCAACCAGAACAAATAGCTGTTGCTACAGTGATTTAACAAAGATGACCTGTGATGAAACCAGTATTTGAATTCTGGACTATATTTTACTCCAAGTCTTATGCTTTGAAAATCATATAATAAGTTTCTAAAAGTAGACAGCAATTATTTTGATTATTAAGACAAGATCAGTGTTTTATAAACTGTTTTGTACCCCATAATTCCTTTTAACAAATTTAAAAATTACTCCATCAATATTATTTAAAATTCTAAGTAGTGTTAATATTATGAGTAAAACAAAACCATAGCATAGGCTCAAAGCCTGCTTTTTTCTTTTTTCCTTTTTTTTTTTTTTTGCGTTACGTGGGCCTCTCACTGCTGTGGCCTCTCCCATTGCGGAGCACAGCCTCTGGATGCGCAGGCTCGGCGGCCATGGCTCACGGGCCCAGCCGCTCTGCGGCATGTGGGACCTTCCCGGACCGGGGCACGAACCCGTGTCCCCTGCGTTGGCAGGCGGACTCCCAACCACTGTGCCACCATGGAAGCCCTGCTTTTTTCTTAATTACTTGATATCTTGTACATTTCACCTTACAAATCTTAAGATGGTAGAGATATCAGCATCTGCAGAGTGAAAAATAATAATCAGAGTCAGAAGAACCATTTCATGGTAGATACAGATTAGAATTCTGGTCTCCAGTCTTGTGAGTGGCTTTTGCCTACTTCATAGTAGGTTTATGCAGTTATCAACTTTAGGCTTCTGAAAGCTTAGCTTGGGCTTTGCATTTCTTCCTGGTTCAGATTCTAGGTTCCATGGAATCATAGCAGTCAACTTTTGGAACACCAGGGAGCTCTTTCTCTGGCCTTTCTAGCTTTGGTATTTGTGGATTCCTCAGGATATGCTATCATCTTGGGAGTGAATAGGGCCAGAGAGATAGTCTAAAATGGAGGGTGTATAGGATCATTTCCCTTTTTTAGAAGTTACTAAGGTGAAGGCAATAGCTTTTCTTGATGTCCAAGATAAGCGGCAAAATGCTCACACACCTGTTTTGAAGTATGTGTCTGTCTTATCCACATATATTGGTGGGCTCCTCAGGAAACTGCATCTAGATGTCTTTTTATTGTGGCACAGAATCTTGAAAAGAATTAAAATTTTAAATTACTAATGTTAAACAGAATGCTTGGATATTCTTGTATTGACTAATGTATCCATCACCTTTAGAAAAATATACTTGTTGTTTGAAAGAGAGGAGAATGTAAAGAACATGGTCAACCATGCTTAGTGTACCTAACTGTGTGTTTAGATATGTTTACTTGCCTGAAATGAGAAGGATAGCTATAGAGGTTAAGTGTCTATGGAATACCACAGTATAACAATTTTGTATCTCTGAAATTATAATCTAAATTAATGAGAAAATTATTTGATTTTCAGTCTGGTTTATAGGACAGATTTTCATTAATAATGTTTTTTATCGAAAGTAATATAACTGGTCATTTTATTATTTTTAAAGTTTTCTGTTTAGCACCTATGTTATACTACTTCCTTTTGGTAATAAAAGGACTTATGAGACCAGAATTTTACTAGATAAAAGTGGATTGAAAGTTAAGTTTAATTGATCTCAGACTAAGATAAACTAATCCCTAAAGATTCCCATATTTTATTTAGTTGAGAATGGTCTTCTGGATGTTTGACATCACCACCACTCCGCACCCCTGCCACACCCAAAATTATGAAGAGAAGTTGGTACTTTCTAAGCTTCCTCCATTTTAGCCAAACATAGACTGTTTGCTGGTTAGAGCTGAGAGTCCTTTGTAATCTGTTTTCTTTTTTCACTAAGTGAGCATCCTTCTTTTGCTCTCCCATTCTTGTGTCTTGGCTGTGTTAAGTCAGCTCACTGCCTTCTTGCAGCCTTGTTTTCCTGCATGCACACTTTATCTTCTGACCAGGCACAGTGACAGCAGTTAACAGGGGAGCAAGAAAGGATTGAATACAAACATGCACATTAGTGTGTGCAGTTTTGGTCTATGATACCATGTTGCGTCTTCTGTTTTTGTCATCTACTGTCAGAAAGGAGGAGCTGAGCTGATATTGACCTAGTGTGGAATGCCTGAGGATTTGGGATGAAGGGAGCAGGCTAGTGTTTCATGTGACTTATCTTTGACATGCTGCAGCAGGACTGAAAACACTCTTCTGCTCACATAAAGCGGAAAGAAAAAATTTCCAAGATTTCACTTGCAGAATTTGTGGAGTATATTTAGATGTTTCTTCCTGTGTTTTTCTAGTTTTCAATTTTATCTAATTTTATAAGGATTGGAAGTGGGGAATGAACTTTGCTTAATAAGTAGATTGAGGTATTATGGAGTAACGAGCTGCAACGATTCACATGGTAAGGGAATGTTTAAAATCTCCACTGACATCTTGACCCACATTTTGACCCATCTGACAAACGGTTAGTGAGCTCCTTGGCCATCTCAAGTGTTTAAAAGTAACAGTAAATAGCTTTATTATTGTGCTTTTTTTCCTCCTATATAAATCTTAAGAGCATTGCACCTGCATATCCAAAACAGTTGATTTTTGTCTACATTTAAAATCTCAGCTCAAAAAAGGTGAGAAATATAAATGTAGCATGTAGTTTTCCCTTAAGTATCTCCTTTGGTGTAATTTTCTCACTTTATGCCTCAGCTTAATGGAGGCTGAGCCTCTGTTTGGGTTATGTCTGGGATGAAACTGAAATATAATCATGAAGCTCTAAGAAGAAACTCTGCAGTACTAATCTGGAGGACTTAATGAATGGCATCCTCCCTTCTTATTGCCTTCTTTTACCTTTCCCCCACCCCAAAAATGTATTGCTGCAGAAATCTATGGCTTTTTCCTCTCATTTTGTAGAAAAAGAAAGTGAAAGGAGTGGGGGTGGGGTGGGTAGATTTCAGTACAAACGGGCATTTAAATTTATTATGTCAAAAAAGAATAGCTCTGTTTTGTAATTCTGAATCTAAGGTTGCTTAAGATTCACTTTAGGAATCCAGCTCTGATGGAAGCATGTAAGACTTTAGATAATGATGTTTCAAACTAAAAGTGGATCCTAACATGTTTGACCTGAAGAGTAGAAAGAGATAAATGCTAATGTGATTCTTTTTTTACTTAGTGTACATTGTCTTATATATTTGATCAATTGGTATGTATGGGTGGTCCTAAAATAGCTTTTGAGCAGATGTGGTATTTAATAGAGCAAATGGCCTGTGTTTTGACAATCTTTTTCTATTTTCTCTGTTGTTTCATTCTAAAATTGGTGCACACAAGTGAGATTTAAGAGGGAATTAACACTTCAGTAAATGTCCTTTTCCCTAATATTGTTGACTGTTTCTATTAGCCATTTTCATTTTATTTGACAGTGATACTTAAGGGTTAAGCTTCAGAGCTGATGCAACTCCTCCTTTTTTTCACCAGCAATTTTCATTGGGCAGCATTTCCATAGCAACAGTGAGATCAGTGAAACCTGAGTGTTTCATTGATTATTTTTCTCCTCTTCCTTTTTTAATATATTCTCTCTTCACCACATTTTAGTGAGAAAGCGATTTTTTTTTTTTTTTACAAACAGAGCTTATATTGATTTCTATTCCATAAATAATTAAAAGAGGGTAGAAAAATCTGCCCTTCATTTAAAAATTGAATGTTTCACTATGTATTTAAAAAACGATTCAGGGTTAGGAGGATGGATAACCATACCGGCTGTAGCTGATGTTCTCAAATATTCTTGCATTGTTTGCTGGTCTTCTAGGGAAAAGAATAATGTGGAACAGGACCTTAAGGAGAAAGAAGATACTATTAAACAGAGAACAAGCGAGGTTCAGGTATGTGAACTGTAAAATTCAGTATTCCATATCTGATTTAGGAGGATTCATTTTAAATGTATGGGGTCGTTTACTATGTGATGGTTGTGGTATTGATGAGTAGGTCAAGGGAATGCTTATTATTTATGTGATATAAATGTTGATCTTTTGCAAAATGATTATTTTTCTCCTAATTCTGGCCTGCAAAGATTACACTACAATGATCAAGCAGTATTTTTCAGTGTAAATTTCTAGCTTTAATGGTATTTTAAGATGATATTTATCTGCATATTATATCCTTAAAGGTAAGTTTGAATGACTTATGATATAAATATTATTATGCCAATAAAACTGAATGAGTGAGATCATCATCATCATCATGAAAACGCAGATTGCTTTTTCATGGGTGTGAGATTTTGTTAGCTAGGAGACCTAGTATTTTAAAGGACTGTCTCTCATAATACTGATAGGGTGGGAAATGGTATGGAACAATTTACAGTAGTATTTTATAAGTTGTTTAGTAGCCAGGATATCTTAAACTTTGGCATAAAGAGATTTAATTCATTTTCACTAAGTGCTAAGTAGCTTCATTTTACAAATAGAAAAGATAATAAAACTTCAGTTTCTGATTGGGAAATGATGCAAAAGAGGTATTTCAAACATTAAAAATACAGAAAATTGGGCAGTGTTGCATTTAGAGCAGTAAGCAATGCATGTGATCATGTTATTGGAGCACCGTTTCTTAAATGCCACACCAGCACATACAGGAGGTTGGATATCAAAGCACTGGTAGCAGTTGCCAGTAAGAGCTCATGGATGGGCATTTCTTAACATGTTACTTGTATGTTGGATTTCCTTGTCCTGATAGTTTGAAATGGGCAAAAGCTCTAAAATTGTTAGATCCATTATTTTGTTTTAATGTAGCACATTCACCAGAGATTGTCTGACAGGTGAACGATGCTAGGGTGGGGAGAATGATTTACTGATGGGCTGAGGAAGAAGCCAGAGAGAGAGACTTCTTATTAGAAGTTGATTCCATTATTGTACTTATTTTTCTGGAATTTTCTTAAAGGTGATATAAAGTTAAGAGATCATCACTAATATATTTCTCTTTGTGGTAGTGAGATATGGAATGGTTACCTCAATTACATTATTTTTGTGCAATTTTTGAACTTCTTAAGAAATGCAAAAAAGTCATAGACTTTAAGCAGTTATTGCTGAAAATAGCTTAAGAATGGAATATAAAATCTCAAAAGTTTTCACAGTCTGAAGCGGTAGATATAGTTACTGATATAATATTGGACAGCTTCTAAATTTAGCTAGATAATGTTTCAAAGTACAAAGGTTTTTGCAGTAGACAATATTTTTTTATTTGTGTACATCTATCTGTGGTTTTTCACTATTGCATCTTTTGAGGATGCGAATTTTAAATAGCCACTTTGGGAGAACACTAAAATTTACATTGTTCTTTTCAGGCTAAATCAGCTACCCTCGAATATTTGATTTCTTATATTTATAGAAGTTTTGTTATCAGTCAAAATTGCTTTGTTATATGCTTGTCCTTCTTTTACTTAGTGGTGATGGTAAGGTATATGTTAATTCTTAAGCTTTGCCAAATCCAAAATGTGTGCTTGGCAGAGGAAGTCTAAATTGTTGAATTTTTTTGCATAAGGTGCTGTAAATAAAAGATATCTTGGGGCGTGGTTAGTATAGGCCAAGTTCTAATGGTTGAGCGTGCAAGTTCATTGAAAAAAACCACAGGATTAAAGCTTTGCATTAGTAGATTCATTACTCATTCCACCCCAATACAGGTGTTGTATTGTCCATGGTAATGAGATACTAGATTAAGAATAACATGAATAATTGACATCTACAAGTAATTAAAACTTTTCATTTTAGTGATTAGTTTCAACAACTTACCTGAAAATGGTAACAAGTATATTGTATTACCTATTGAGTTAACTCTGATTTAGCCATTGGTAATGAGGCACAGGCTAGGAATAACTTGAATAATTAAGATCTGTAACTAACTTGAACTCCTAATGCTTATTTTCTAATTTCTCTGGCAAAAGGCAGTTTACTAGAGCTTATTAATAACTATCAGAATCAAAGAACTTCACTGCTTCTTTCTGACCCCACTTTCTAATGTAGGTGCTAATGAATAATGCCAAAATGAAGACATCAAGGGAGAAGTAAGGGAATATTGACCATCAATAAATGTCTTTCTGCCTAATCCAAACTTGGCTTTTCTGAGTATTCTTGCTTTTCTCCATATTTATAAAGTCACAGATAGTGATTATATGAGCTCATATCTCAAGCACAGAAACCAAACTTTCAAAGCCTCTTTAGATGTGACCAGAGTGCCAAAAGATTAGTTTTTTTTTTTAGCATTTATATAGTCTCCCTAATTCAGTTAAATTAGAAAATCTGCTACATAATTAATTTCTACATGTTTGTTTCCTGTATGTATTCCCATGAATTACCATCTTGAAAACTTACAGTTCAAGACTTTTTTCTTAAAGAGCAAACCAGCAATTAACTTCCTATTTTATGTCGTGAAATGATCACTTAACTCATATGATGTACACTGCTAGTTTGTCAAGTTCCATGGAGAAATTAGGCTCAAAATGATCCAAGGAGGGGAAACTGTAAAAGGATGTTCTATCTCAAATGTTTATGGTTTGAGCTTTTTGTTGTTACAGGGAGAAGGTAGACCCACATTCTTTCCTACCTTAAACTGCATATGTACAGTTTTATTAAAAATTTTCTTCAGGTAGTCAACACATATTTAGGAATTCACCCTCTCATGTGTATGCTTTTCAGTTTTGTATAGAAGTTTATAGGAAACAACTTGGTATCAGACAAACTTAATTCACTTCCTGGTTCTGGCTCTTCCAAGGTTTGAGATCCTAAGGAAGAAATTCAACCACTCTACACATTAGTTTTCTCTTCTGTAACATGAGATAATAAAAATACCAAACAGTTTGCTGTTAGAATAAAATGATATAATACAGGTAAAGTGCCTCAGAGTGATTGGCACAAGGTAAGCGTTCAGTATATGTTCTAATTAATAGTAGTATTCTATATCTTACTGTCATCTCTTTGTTACTCTCCCTTCATCATCATACTCTTTCTTCTCTGACTTCTATCTTCACATGGCTATCTGCATATAGGACTAACCAATATGAAAATACCTTTTTGTTGTTGTTGTTGCTGCTGTCACTTTAGCTACCAGCCTGTTTTTCTCTATTGTTGTTTCTTTGTGTGGCCCTTTTCCCCCTTCCTAGGTTTTCAGTAACCCTACTTAGTTTCCTGTTCACCCATACCATTGTGCTTAATGTATCTCCCCAGGACCAAGAATAATCTTAAGGCCAAATCCATTGGTCCTTCCTACATTGGTTACTGATTTCTTGGGTTGTATTCTCCCAGATATTCATAGCCCTACCTCTTTGACCTTTTGCTTCTGTTGCCTTTGCCAGGGACAGATGGACACACTCCGACCCCCTCTTTCCTCCCTTTTCCATACCCCCTGTCATCCATATACTGATAACTCACAAATATTTGTCAAGCCCTCAGTTCTCTTGAGTGCCAGTCTGACATCTCCAGCTAGGCATTTTGAGGTTTATCATTTCAAAGCCAGTATATCTAAAATGAGTCTCATCTTGTTGAAAAAAATTGGCTTCAAGTTGAACTTTTCTGTTTCTGTCAGTGTTTTTCTTTCTCTCTACTGCCACCCCATCACCTAACATCTGAAATTTTGACGTCAGATGTAAGTGCTTACTCCATCCTCCTCCTGCCTTTCTTCCTAAACCAATTTTAGTTATGACTCTTAGATGTGAAAATCTTTACTGCTGCCCACTGCCACTGTTAATAATGGGAGGATGTCATCCTCATGGATATATTGGAATTGGAAAAAAAATTATAGGCCATCCTCTTGTACTACTTATTTTTTGATTGCCTGCCTCTGAACTGTGCGCCATACACATGCTCTTTTTTATTCCCACCCTTATACCTTTTGTTGTTGCAATCTAGAATGTTCCTTACCCCCCTGCTTATGTGAATTCTACCCATGCCTTAAAGTCCAGCTCAAACTCACCACTTTTCTAAACTTTCTCTTCTCTGTCCCTTCAGTCTATACCTGTATTTCCTGTGTTGGAACTCCCAGAGAAGTGTGTGTACACTTATATGGCACGTTCAGTACGTTACCTTATTGTACTATTTTAATGTGTATGTATATAGATTCCAATATCTTATAGCTTATATTGTGAGCTCCTTAAGCTTAGAAATTGTACCTTGGTTCTTATTTTTCACTATGTATGGTAATGTATTCTTAGATGGAGGTAAATTTAAGGAAGATATGACAGTAGAAATGAATAAACTTCCATTTTGTGCATGAAATTAAAAATAGGGCAACACACACTCAGAAACCACAGGCAGAATGGATTGGGAGCACAGCTGGTATCATGAAGAGTCAGACATTTCCATATTGTTCATACTACCTTCATGAGAGAGAAGCTCCCAGTTATTTAAACTTTATCAGTAAAGATTTAGTAGTTCATAGTAATTGCCCATATTTTTTTTCCCTAGATGAAGAAGGATGACTTATTTTGGGTGGAAATAAAATTAGAAACATGAGCTCAACATTCTTTTCCTGGCGATAACGTTCTTAGAACATGCTGAGAAGCATATGATTGAGAAATAAAGGCAGGCTGTTAGGGTTTTCTAACATCTACCCTAGTTTAATAGACTCCCTTTCTGGTCTTTGACTTAAGCATCTTGCTCTATAGTTGATACTTTTTTATATGAAGACTATTCCTAGGGGCTTCTCTGGTGGTGCAGTGGTTAAGAATCCTCCTGCCAATGCAGGGGACATGGGTTCAAGCCCTGATCCGGGAAGATCCCACATGCCGTGGAGCAACTAAGCCTGTGCGCCACAACTACTGAGTCTGTGCTCTAGAGCCCACGAGCCACAACTACTGAGCCCATGTGCCACAACTGCTGAAGCCCACGTGCCTAGAGTC